CTCCTCTCAATTTTTGCACAATTCACTGCATTCGAATTGTACTTACAAAACAAACATACCTTATATTTTTACTAAAAATAATAAAAATAATAATAAAATAAAATTAATAGTATTGAATGAATTATGAAAAAAACATACAAATTATGAATTTTAATTGGCTCACCTTTAAATTTGATAAAAAAAAATTATTAAAACTATTAAACTGATTTGTAAATTAAAATAGTGATATTAACAATGAATAAAAAGAGATTGCAACTCAAATTCAAATATATTTTTAATTGATCTTTTCCATACTTACGCAAGCAATAAGTTTGAAACCATAACTAAAACGTTGGGCAACACTATTGTTGTCAATCAAAATTTTCCCGACGGCTTATTGGAGTGAATTCGAACTAGAATTTAGGTAGATTTTTTGACTTTCTCAAAAAAAATCTGAATCCATATTCACAAAAATACTAAACAATTAAAAAAAAAAAAAAAAAAACCAACTCGTTTTCAGGCTGTAAATCGGCCTTTAAACGAACTTCAAAACCTCTTGATATCAAGTTACAATCATCCTACAATTCAACTTCTTGCAACATTATGGGTAGATGAAATATTTCTGGAGAATAATAAATTGCTTTTAATATGTGTACTTCCCCGAATTGGTCAGATTCCGCTTCAACAATTTCAATGCTCAATTCCAAAATATTACGCAAATTCGATGGAATTGAGTGAGAAATATGAATCCAGTGTCGCTTAAGGATTGTTGAATAAGTAGGCTTTCCTTCACTAATAAGAAAGCTATCGAATCTTTCCTCAATCCAATAGCTAATTCAGCGACCACAACGCCGGCAGCTTTATGCGTGTTACCGGTAAAATCCGTAGTTTGCATTCCATTCGGCGGTAGATCATTGCAACTCTTCCTAATTTTCTGCAATATTGAGAGTGTCATTATGTTGACTGATGTCCTACCATCGACTAACACCTTGCCGATCAATGTCCAATCTTGCGCTTTGACTTTCCGTCAGTTTCCAAAAATCATGGAGCATTCTCAAGAGAGCTATCCTTTGTCACCCACACCACGGGGCTTTCGTCTTCCACCAAAATATCTCCTTGTAATGACTGGGGCTGATTGCAAGGGGCGACAAACTTGGCGGGCAAATTTCCAACTATATTTATTGCAAAATCACCATGAAATTGAAGTGCACAATCAAGATCACAGTCAGAAGCAATAATATCTAAACTTGCCTCTTAAAAACCATCATCATCAAGAGCAACGATCCGTCGTTCCTTGGGTATCTTCGAATCCGGCGTAATCATTAACATTTTTTCATTATCTTTGTTCGGCGCAGCTTGTGAGGTACTGATTTCATCCTGGTGGATTTCTTGCATTTATTCAGAAGTACACGTGGACAATAGGAGTTGTTTCTAAGTGAACGAAAAGTTGATAATTAGTGTCACGTGTAACATTCAGCACATTGGTGTCCTGCTACTTCGGCCTCCATTCTTTTCGGTTATTTAGGCGATGCTGGAGGTCTCCAGATAGAATGGCTTGCTCGGGGGCTGTCTTGGCCATGTGCCCGGCTCGCACTTCATTTAAATATTGCCTAAGATCCTTGCATGAAGCCTCTGCAGAAGTGGTGACCGTAGGTGGTGCGTCGGGATTCGGTTCCAAGCCTTGCGCTTGCCAGCCTTGGTGCTTGACAACAACACTATCGGCACCCTTTTTGGGATTGGAATAGCTGTTGATACTTATTCTGAGCTTGATTAGTTGCCCAGCTCCTATCTCCTGGAGCCTTTTTAGGTTTCCGAGTCGGGAGAAGAGTGATGATAACTTGATCTACCGACGACACCCTCCAAACCACTCAATCTTTCTTGAAACTCAGTTTAGGTAAGGTTTTTGAAGACGTCAACCTATCCCATAGAGGAGCTCTACGTGGGAGACGGAAAGCCTGCCCTAAGTGCTCGGTGACGGGTATGCTCGGCATCAACGGTTTTTTAATTTTCCTCTCTGTTGGAACGTTTGGTTGTCTTTCTTTCTTGGGATGGACCTTAACTACATTCACAGGGGCTGAAAAGGGATCAGTATCAACCTTCATTTTTGACCGATCAACAAGATGCAATCGACCCTCTTTGATCGCTTTTTGTACCGTATTTCGGAATGCGATGCAATTTCCTACTGTGTGGCAGAGAACTCCATGCTAGTTACAAAAACTCTTCCCTTTCACTCCTCATCGGATGGAAATCTATGCCTCATTTTTATCCAAATGTTTATTGTCTTTAAATAAATAATTAAAAATCTGTTCGGCTTGGCAATATCAACTGACTATAGCTCATTCGGATTGACCTCTTTTTTTTCCTAGAAGCCTTCAAAGATAGAGAAAAAAATATACGTCGTTCCTTGTGTAAATTTAGCAAAACACACATCACCGGTATCATTGTCGGAAGACAAATTTTTGTCTTTCTATTGACTAAAGTGGACACAACGTCTACGCTACTTCCGGATAATTTGTGTTTCTCGATGCAGTTGTTGGGCCTTCATAGCCTTCGACATCAATTGCTGAAGATCTAGATAATTCTTGCAACGCAAGTCTCTCTCGTAGACGAGGTAAAATATTATCAATTTACATCCCCCACGACTTGACCTTCTAAAATTCGCAGTTGGCAACATTTTTCGGCACGCTCGAAACGCTCAAGGAACTGCTCGACAGTCTCATCATTCCTTTGCTACATACTTGTACGGTGTGAAACGATAATCTCCGGTGATATGTATAAAATCTCTTGTGAAAAGCCCTATCCAGCTGAATGTGGGACCTGTCAAGGACAAGAAAAAAAATTGCAATTTATACCAATTATTATTTCCAAATTGTCCGTTGCATTGCGCGGTGAAGCAGCTAACATGCTCTATCGTTGATCGAGAGTCCTCGCCGGAAAATAATGTGAGCTCCAAGATATGCATGTTCTTTGGAAAAAAAAAGTTCATCCGTGATTTAATTTGAAAAAGGGCGTCAATAATGCTGATGAGCTGGTACGTGCAGCGGATTGTCCTATAATTGTTGAACTACCTCTGTGATTGCTTGATGGTCGGGGAGGCTCAATAAGGATATATGTATGTCCAGTTGCTGCACGACCCATGGCAGGCCGTGAGGGACCCTGGGAAACTCTCAGGACCTAGTTTAGTTGGTATCCGAAAGGTGGCAGCAGCGATTGTGTGGGTTATGCCGGCTACAGATGCGCTGTGTGTTGGGCGAATTTGGCTGCCCCCGATCGGCCGTTCCAGCGGATCAGCCATTGGTGGGGTCAGGTACGGCCTTCCGAAACTTATTGAAAATGCCGCAGCCTAAGGAATCAAAATAAGAGCTGCTGCTGTGGCTAATGAGGGTATACTCAAACGACCCATGCGGAAAAACATCCATGGGGCTATAGACCTGCCCCTAGCCTCACATGCAGGGATAGAACTAGTAACGTATCATGGGGGACCATATCATACATCAGAAAATACGTTGGATACAGTGGAGGCACCTAACTGGTCCAATTTGTCGCCGAACTCTGCTCGGAACCGACTGAGAGTGTGGCACTGTGAACATAGTTGCGACCTGGGTTGTCTCAGACTTTTTCGGGGCCTTAAGCAAAAGTAGATTTTAGGCCCTATAAACATACGAGTAAATGTATTTTTAAAATGATATGATTGACATTGGCGTCGGCTAGACAAGAAGTTGAAGACAGTGGTCTGACGACGGTGTTGACTCGAGAAAAAAAGATGTAAATCAAAATGACGGCGCTTCGTCTGGATGGGTGGGCACAATGCGTCAAAAATGTGAAAGTGAAAAGAGAGGTGTAGGCACCATTTGAAAGATGTAATCCAGTGTGGTTATAAATAAAGATAAAAAAAAAGATAAGATTAGAGTTTTAAATTTAATTTTAAAATTAAAATTGAATTGACTAATAATGAAAAATATAAAATATAAAATAAAATTTAATATTTAATATTTATAATAGGCTAACATTTTAAAAAAAACCTCTTTTAACTAGGGGCATGAGCAGTTACTCACCCTGCTTATGCTAATAGCCGTCTCTGGTTGCGACAAGTGGTGGCTGAGGGTAGGTTGCCATAATGGGTGGAAAAACAACATGTTGGGCTGCCGGAGCATCCACCGAACCAGACAATGATGTCGTCGGAACAAACAATGGGTTTTCTCACCAATGAATAGGTTATTTTTTGCTCCCCCAGCATTTTAAATGTCTCCCTACTGAACCGTCTACCCTTTGGTTTTGCGCGAGTTGCTGCCTATCAAGAACTTCTTGGTTTCGTTATTGGATCGTCACTTGGCCGAAGCGCAATTCCTGAGAAGGTCCTGCCTCGACCGCCAATGCCAACTGCTTGCCCGGTGTAAATTTTACTTATGTGGCACTAACAGGGGTCTTTCCTTTCGTTTTTTTTTTTTTTCTTTTTCTCGTTATGCCACAGGATCATCTCATTTTGTATAATCGGGTCGAGGATGTGAGAAAAATATCTTGTTAGTTATAACGTTTGATCATGAAGGACTGATAGCACTTCCATGCGGATGCTCTCTTGAATCCCCAACAATGGTGCAAGCAGATTATACCCATCCGCCTCTGTCGAAGCTTTGGAATTGCCAGAAATTGCTCGCCGATATGATCTTTCTCGTCCGATCCTTGACTATTCTTAGAGTTCATCACATCGCTTAACATTCAACTTCATAAATTCATGAATGTGAAGGAATACGTGTGTCCTACTGGGCATATCAATTTATTGTCACTAAAAATATTTCAGGCGACTTATCGTAGCAAGCCGAAAAAGATTTACGTAGGTTTTTCGGCTTCCTAGAAAAGATTCGAAACCGTATTCATACAAATAATAAACAGAAAAAGGAACGACAAAAAAAATAATAAGCAAGAAAGTAACTAAATAAAAACAAGCAAATGAAATAAATGCAGAGAAGAAAAATAAATTGAAGAAGAAAGTTTGTGATGTTCATGTCGTGTCGTCCCCACTTCAAAAATAAACACCAAAAAATATATATATTTTCTAAATTTATACCTAATTTTGTTATGATTTTATTTTATCTCTAAAAATTTCGTCCCTATCTCAATAACCTTTCAAAATAAACTGGTTGCTTCATTCCTCTTTAGTAGGGCTGTCATAGAGCTTCATGTAGGTTGCATGTCAGGCTGCTAGTTGGACTGCGCATTTATGATTTTTGGAACTTTTTTATGGGATTGAATGTATTTCATTGCAAATAATATTTTTAGGTAACTATTTAATTAAATTAATTTTTTATAATAAAATGGAGTGTAGGCGTACTTTTTTTTACATTTTAATATTTTTAAAATAAATATAATTATTTGATATTACATTTACATTAAAAAAAATTGAAATTTGAAAGTAATATTTTCAAATAGAATAATTAAATCGTAACTAATACAAACCCTAACATTTATTATATATTAAATTAAGCGAGATAAAAAACCCAACTGAAGCAGGCGAGCACCCACCTAGACCTAACATAGCATGGCACTCAAACCAAGAATGTCTAGTTAGAAAGATTTGACATATTAAGCATGCAAGAGCAACAAGATCAGGTCAAGCAAGGGATGATACAGCTAAACTGATGTTCATTTAACAGTGAAAGCAAAAACTTGCTTTGGATTCATCATGTACGTACGCATACGCAGTGTAAGCCATGATTTTGATTTAGACACAGGCCTGAGTTGGGTACCGTGTTCTGGTTGATAATGTTAACAGCAGCACAACCAATCCATGCTACAATAACTATGAACAGAATCAACTACGCACCAGCTATCTTGCTGCATTCTCGACAACAGGCATGTGGCAAAAGAGGTGAATAGTCTTCTGCCAGCACTACAGCTGCCAATCTACGGGAGACATACCCAATTTCTCCAAGATCTCGTTTGCACGAGAGAAATGCCTGTCGGATCAAAGGATTAATAATCAGCGGACAAAGCATGCCGTGGCAAGCGGATGTGATGAAATATTTAAGCAGACAGTCACGTGGAAATGACTCTCAGCAGAGGTGTAAGATAATAAGGCTAAAATGGTCTTAAGAACATGCTTAGTGTGCCAATTTCTTGCTCCATATCAATCTTGGTTGATGACAAGAACAACAAATAACCAATAATCGGTATAAAAAAACTAAAGAATGTGAAGAGTGAGATTCAGTGAGGTTTACATGGTTGTCTGGGCTAACACGAATCAGGATATCCAGATGGTTGTAGTACTAACAGCATATGGGGAAACTAAGTGGCATCCAGCCACGAATTGGCAGGTTCAAATCTTTCCATTTTCTCATTCTATTCTCCATCTTTGATTTCAAAGCTTATTAAGGAGAGGTTTTATTGTAAACAATAAAATAAATTGCATGTGCTAGACAGAGTCTTCAAATTATTAAAAGGGGCAAGTTTACATCTGTTCAACTATTATTTGCAATTACAAGTTTAAATATCTCTGAATTTACTTCCTGATTTCGATATCTTTTAGGCGCAATTTAAATCATAATAGATAAACAGGAACTTCAATTGTTCTGTAAAGGAAAACAACTATAGCAAGCAGCCAAGGGCTCAACTGTCCTACTTGAGTGTATTCAAATAAAGACTGATGTTCAGTAAGATACTAACCTGCATCCAAAGAAGCCTCTGTGTGCCGACAAACCAGAAGGATGTGCTGACTTGAGAATATAATGCTTTGATTCGTCTATCAGCCTGTAAAATCAGTCAATAATTACAATGTACTGAATTCTTGGTCTATTTGCTCGTATTAATGAAACCCTCTACAGTTTGTAAACTAAACAGTAGGCTCATTACAACTTAACTATCAGCCTAAATTAAGAAAATGGCTAAAGCCACTTTCCACTTGATGCTAAATCAAAAGTAAGAGTTCTATTTCGATCAAAACAAAAAAAAAAAATGTAAGAGTTCTATTTTAAAGTTTTAACTTTGATTGATGCACTGAGGCATATTGCTACAGTTGTGCCTTCTAATATCAAACCAATGCAGGATTTAGATATGAATTATTAGTAAAATGGAATATATAATATATATATATATATATATTTAGTGATAATGAGCGTGCAATTCCAGTTGCCATCATGGCACCTGTAACTTAACAGTGGAGAATGCTCAGATGTTTCAAAGAGTTAATTTGGATCTGTATATAAACTCCAAAAAATACTGCAGGAAACATATAGGATAATCCACACATAATTGACTCCAGACCATTGTCATTCACAGAAAATGACAACATAGAGCATAGCTGATTAACAGGAAACATGGTAACTAGTAGTTATTATATCGGAAGTAAATCATTACATACATTTATCTGAATCTTACAAACAGCCATAGCAGTTTACATGGTTCCATTACTTAATTCATGAGAAAAGGACCACTCTTATTGACAAACCAAATATATAAAGAATCATTTTTTAAGTCATTTGAAAATACATGACACTTCTCCAGGATATTTATATCCGAACAGGAAACCGAATTTGAACCATCATGCTAGGTAGTTTCAAACTTTTAATTTACAATAATTCCACAAGCACTTGCATATTAAATTATTTGAGTTTCTAATTGGCAAATGGTAATTAATGACTAACATAATGGGCTGCATTAAGAATGCATAACCAAAAATATTACCGTGATTTGGCTTGGGCATAGTTCCCCCAAAGAAGAAAAACAACACCACTTCTTTTCTGGGAAATAGCTGTGATTACAGAATCAGTAAACTGTTCCCACCCTTTCTTGGCATGGGAATTAGCCTGATGCTTTCTCACTGCAAATCAGTCAACGAAGTTTCTGTTCAGTTTTTATAATTCAATATAGTGAGGAGGACAATACATAATGTACTAAAATTCATCCTCAGAAAAGAAGGAACAAAAAAAAAAAAAAAAAAAATCAACTAATGAAAAGTATCGCAAGGAAATAATTACCAAAAATGTCTCTTTACACCACTACATTTCTAATCTACCATGAGAAAGCATAGGAACATGTAGAGCGATGAGTATTTTGTTTGAATGATACCAGGAGAAACAAGTCTACCTGTCAGAACAGCATTTAGCAGGAGAACACCCTAGAGATCAAAAGAAAAGAGTCATTTCTTGAGAAGAAAAAAAAAAACAGGGGGGGGGGGGGGTGGGGGGCGCAGGAGGGAGTGGGGACCCATACATGGTGGTTTGAATGCAGTAATGACTTTGAAATAATATTTGAACAAAGTAAGCATGCAAGATGGATTCGGCAATACGAACATTTGTGTTTCATCAGGGACTTGCCCAAGTGAAAGTTTTTCAGTAGAATGCAAACCCATCACTACCCAGTATATATCTATATGCTTCATGGACAAGGTGAGGTATTATTGTAAATTTCCCCCATCCCTACGAAAATTGCATATTCCTCTCCAGTTGAAAATTAGAAGAACAGGAAATAGATTAAAGCGTAAACAAGTACAGATATAATCCTTCATGGGAGCTAACATAGGATGATACATCGTCTATCAGCTCTTAAGAATGCAACTATTACCTGTACAGCCCATCTTTCCAAATTTCCATTGGTTGGAATAGTGCAACCCAAATCTTGATGAATCTCTTTATATATGTTCACAAGGCTTGAAGGCACTTTGATGCCATCTGGCACTGAGAAAGAGAGGCCCATTGCTTGGCCTGGTCCATGATACGGATCCTGAGGATATTTCAGAAAAAAACATACAATTGACTAAACAATAATAAGATCGAAGCAATGCAAAAACACGACAGTACTAGAATATGCACAAAATATGACAAAATTCCGTATGGAAATGAGTTCAATGAACAATATGAGTGACATTTGAAAGCAAGAGATTGGGAGACATATTGGACAACAGGTTCCCTACTGGTGATAAAATATAAATTCCAGAAGATGAGCAACAATTGTTACTTATCAGATTAGATTATACGGCATCGAGATAGATAAAATCCAAGAAGCTCTACACTCAATTCAAGTCTTTCTGTGGTAAAATCACATTGCTGGAAGAAAAACAAGATTTACCTGTCCAATAATAACAGCCTTAACCCGGTCAAATGGAGTAGTATTTAGCGCATTAAAAATCAGATGTTGAGGAGGGTAAATCGGAACGTCTCCACGTAATATTTCACTCTTGACAAATTCACAGAGTGTCTTCGCATAAGGTTTCTGCAGTTCACCGGATAGCACTTCTAACCATGTCTCCTCCACCAGTAGCTCCTCCAACTTCACATACCCCACTCCTTAATCACAAAAGACACTGCAGTCTTAGCAGACAAAAAGTGTATGATATATAAAAATGCCTCTAACAGTGAACTTTGGCGTAACCTTTCTTCAACATACACGACATTGCATTATATAGAGATGATAATACTGAAACACTACTGACATATACAATGATGAAATCCTGTAAACACTGAAGAACATTGCACCTTCATATAGTAGGCACTAATAAATGTTACTCGGTTATGGTAATTTTTATAAACCAAACGAGGGCACAGAACCATATTCTGAATCAAACAAGAACAAAGGACAGAAGACGACTGCGGAAAGTCCAAATTAGAAGATAACAATATTTTCCCTCGCTGCAAACATATGTGATCGAAAACAAAAAATGAGAAACAAAATGAACAGTAGACCTGCGGCAGTTGCTTTGGAGACTTTGTCCGAACAAAGCTTGAGGTTCTTCTTGCACAAAGCGAGGGACCTGTTGAACTCCATTCTCATCTTCTGCTCGGAGGAGATGACTGTCGTTGACAGGGATGAAGCAGATACACCGCCTTGCGCTGAAAGGGGCGAAGACACTCTCTTGAGACGCTTCGCCGCGGGTTGCTGGAAGAAATCCTTTAGGGTTTTGGGAGGAACAGCCATTCCTGGCTCCTGTTAGAGATGGCGGGAAGTTCTGGAGGTCAGAAAATTAGCTCTGCCATCGAAGATTAGAGCATGCCCAATGGTCCTAATTTGGGTTTTGGTAGATGCTGGTGTGTACAGTGGACTCGCACACACGCACCGGCCGAGCAATATATTAGTAATATATTTAGGGTGTGTTTGTTTGAAGGATTTCGGAGGATTTTCACTATTCATCTAATTTTTTTTCCTCAAAAATATCAAATCAAACACCTATTTTTCATTTTTTATATTATACTAAAAATCAATTTTACATTCAAAACATCACATCAAACCCTATTTATATCACATCATACAACTATTCAAATTCAAAATTTTTACTATTCAAATCCCAATCCAAAATCCAAACCCCCAAACAAACACACCCTAGGGTATTTTGATTTATTTATTTATTTTATTTTGATTTTAAATTTAATATTTATTTTTATTAAAAATTATACTTAATAATAGTAAAAACTTAATTAATCTCTATCCCAACTCAAACTATTTTTTTTTTTACTATTTTAATCTATCTCATTCCAAAGTATTTATTTTTTTATTTTAATAAAAATATTCATACATCAATACCAAAATACATTATACATATAATTACTTTTTACATAAAATCGGATATGGTCCGACCGTGTATAATTATAACTAATGTAATTTTCTTACCCACAAAGTTCAATAGAACAAATGGATTAAGAATATATATAAAAGAAAATAGAAGAAAAAAAAAACAGCGAAAAGATTGTGAATGAGTATTGATGACAACCAACCATGAGAATAATTCTCGGATCTGAAATCAATCCATAGGCTAAAACACAAACAATAGGCTAAATTCCACGGCAAAGGATTGTAAGCCACAAACCGATTGAATCACTCCAAAGACCCGATTTAAAACTCTAAATGTGAGGAAATCACTCCCTAACACTAACACTAGAAAATTATAAAAGTGAAATTCAATTCAATATGTAAAAAAATTTCCATTACAATGATAGTAAGGACCTTATATAGATCTCAATAAAAGGCAACAAATAATAAAAGAAATAAACCAAAAGGTAAATCTACCTATAAGGACCTTGAATACTTGAAGATTCAATGTCCTCGTCATTCCTTCCTTCTTGAAAAGGTTTCTTGTTCTCCCGAATAAAATATTTATCCGCTGCATAAAAAAGGCTTAAGTCAAAAACATTAAAAGTAGCGTGAACTTGGCACTCACCTGGGAGTTCAAGTTTGTAGGCATTATCGTTAATGGGTTCCAACACTCGAAATGGCCTATTGCCACGGGGAGTAAGTTTTGACTTTCGCAATTCTGGAAATCTTTCATTCTTTAAGTGTAGCCAAACTCAATCTCCTATCTTGAATACAACCTTCTTGCGCCCACGATTAGCTTGTTTTGCGTAATTGTCAGTTGTCTTTCGTAGGTTATCCCGTACTTGAAAATGAAGTTGTTCGACAAATTCAGCCCTTTTTTCTGCCATCAAACTAACATGCTCATTGCGTGGAAATGACATAAGATCAAGAGGAGTTAATGGGTTAAAACCGTAAACAACCTCAAATTGAGAACAATTCGTAGAGCTATGAATCGTACGGTTATATGCAAATTCAGCATGAGCTAAATATTCTTTCCAACTCTTCAAATTCTCATTAACTAAGGCACGTAACAAGCTATCCACGGTTTGATTAACAACTTCAGTTTGACCATCAGTTTGTGAATGGTGTGATATGGAAAATATTAATTTTGTACCTAATTTAGGCCAAAGTATTTTTAAAAAATAACTTAAAAATCAAGAATCCCTATAAAAAACAATGGATCTTAGAACACCATGTAATATAATAACCTATTTGAAAAATAATGAAGCAACATGCGAAGCATCAATAGTTTTTGTGCATAGAATAAAATGTGCTATCTTTTTAAAATTGATCAACCATAACAAATATTGAATCTTTACCAGACCTACTCCTAGGCAAACCTAATATAAAATTATAGAAATATCAACCCAAGGGAATTCAGGAATAGGTAGCGGAGTATACAAAACCGTGTGGATGAACAGTAGACTTCGGAAAGATGCACGTTGTACACCGAAGAATTGCGGCTTCAACTTCGAATTTCATTCGTGGCCAAAAAAGTGCTCATGCAGCAAGTTAAGTGTCTTGTTCCTACCAAAGTGTCCCATTAAACCCCCCGAATGACTTTTCCAAATCAACAATTCTCTCAAAGAGCATTTAGGCACGCACAATTTATTTTCTCGCAGTAAATACCCCTCATGTACATGATACCTTTCAAAGGCATGAGAATTACATTTAGAAAATATAAGAAATCAGGGTCAGTTGCATATAAGTCTTTCAAATACGAAAAACCTAATAGCTTAGACTCAAGTGTGGTAACAAGTGCATACATGCATGACAATGCATCTGCAAAGATGTTTTCCTTACCTTTTTTGTATTTAACAACATAGGGGAAGGTTTCAATGAAGGAGATCCATCGGATATGTCTCGTACTCAACTTACTTTGGGATTTGATATGCTTGAGGGATTCATGATCAGTGTACACAACAAACTCACGAGGACGTAAGTAATATTGCCATGTTTGCAGGGCCCGCACTAAGGAGTACAATTCCTTATCGTAGGTTGAGTAATTCAACGCGGGCATGTAGCTTTTCACTGAAAAATGCAACGGGTCTCTTTTATTGCAAGAGGATGACGCCAATACCTACACCAGAGACATCACAATCAAGTTCAAACGGTTTAGAGAAATTAGGTAAAACAAGTATGGGTGCACATGTAAGTTTCAATTTCAAAGTATCAAAAGCATTTTGTTGTTCACTTTCCCACTCAAACTTATCCTCTTTTTTGGTAATTGCAGTTAAGGGTGCTGCAATAGTGCTGAAGTTTCACACAAATCGACGGTAGAAACTTGCAAGGCCATGGAAACTGTGAACATCACGTATGCTAGTAGGTGTAGGGCACTCTTGGATGGCTGCAACCTTCACAGGATCTACGCATACTTCATCTTTTCCTACAATAAAATTCAAAAAGTTGCACTTGTTAACACAAAAGTTGCATTTTTATAAATAACATATAACTTCTCAGCCCGTAAACATCTAAAACTGTTTGTAAATGTTCAAAATGTGTTTCAAAGTATTATAAACAAGTATGTCATCAAATTATACTACCACAAACTTATTTATAAAATTCCTTAAAACATTATTCATCAATCGCATGAATGTGCTTGGGGCATTAGTAAGTCCAAATTGCATAACTAACCACTCATATAGACCAAAAGAAGTCTTGAAGGCAGTTTTCCATTCATCACCTTGATTCATCCGAATTTGGTGATAGCCACTTTTTTTAAATCAATTTTTGAAAAAATTACAGAACCACACAAATTATCAAGCATGTCATCTAATCTAGGAATGTAATGATGATACTTAACTGTTATAGCGTTGACGGCTCGGCAATCCACACACATACACCAACCTTCATCTTTTTTTGGCACCAATAGGACAGGTACAACACAAGGACTTAGGCTTTTACGAATCCAACCTTTTCTCAGTAGATCCTCTACTTGCCTTCGTATTTCTTTTAACTCATCCGGGTTGGCTCGATAGGCTGACCGATTAAGAATTGGTGCTCCCGGGACAAAATTAATTTGGTGCTCAATTCCACGAGTGAGTGGTAAACCATGAGGTACTTCATCAAGAAAAACATCATCATACGCCTGCAATAAGTTAACAAAACTAGATGGAAGTTTGTTAGAGTCATTAATGGAAAAATAAGTAGGTTTAGAAAGTAATAGCAAACAATGAACTCCATGTTCTAAGCGTAAAGCTTCCTTCCTACACATAAAAAGATTAGACCTCTCACTTTCGTGTTTACAATTCCAACTGGTTTCACCCTGAATCACTACACTCGTGTTTGATTTTTGAGTAGAACAGTAGAGCATTTGAGAGTAACTCGGGGTAGATGTATTTATTGGTAAGGATGAATATTTGAGAGCTTGTGGGATAGTTAGGCTATATGAAAGAGTAGATGCACTTGTATGCAGAGTACCTTTTGTTGCGGGTGATTCTAAGAGGACTTCAAATTGGACTCCTCACATCGAGTTGATTCAGCGACATAGCTCACCATCTTGTTGTCTTTCTTTTGGTTCATTTTCTCTCTTGCTTCAGCGACAAACTGCTTGTACAAGTATTTTTTATCTTCATTTACTTCTCGAGGACTCAACGGCTTTAGAACTATGGTCCGTTCGGCATGTGTAAAAGTATATCGATTACGGCGACCATCATGTACAACTTCTTTGTCAAATTGCCATGGTCTCCCAAGCAAAATATGACATGCTTGCATTGGAACTACATCTCATTTTATCTTATCCTTGTAACCTTGTAGCTCAATTCCCACCAACACTTGTTTGGTGACTTTGATTTCCCCACAATTATTGAGTCACTGTAGTTTGTAAGGCGTCGGGTGCAAATTCATCCTCAAATTAAGTCTTTTCACTGCGAGGTCACTAATGTCATTAGTACAACTACCACCGTCAATGATAAGACTACATACCTTAGTCGCGATCTTACACATTCCATGGAATAAATTTTCGCATTGTTCGGTATCTTCAACCTCATTTGGAAGGGTGCTAAAAGCTCGGAGTGTGACTAATGTCAAATTGGACTATGGTATGGATTCTATAGCTTCTTGGTCGTATGAATTTGCCTCATTGACCTCTTTAGTTTCTGATTCGGATTCGTACTCACCGGAGGTCGTAAGAACCATAGTACGCTTGTTTGGACATTGATTCGCAAAATGTCCTCGGCCTTAGCATTTGAAACATAAAACATCTCAGCTACGGGTGGTGTTCTTTTGGGTGTTTGTTGGCGGCTTAAGGCCGTCGAATCAACTTCTGCTACCTCTTTTCCTTTGTTGATGTGTTGTGGAAGCAGCGCTTTAGGCAACCCTACAATTAGAGAAATTTTAAACGGATTACCTTGCATCCGCTTTGATTTTAGTTGTTTCTCCACCTTTATGGCCAAGTGTACCATCTCCTCGAGGTCCACGTATTGGTACATCTCTACCGCATCAGCAATATCCCTTTGAAGCCTA